GGTCGTTTGTGACACGAATGATGTCGCCGTGGCTGATGTCGTTGGTCCAGGTGGCACCGCTGTTGGCTTTGCCGGCGAACGGCGCGCTCTCGCTGGTCTTGTCGGCTGTCCAAGAGCCAGACAGACTGGTGGCGGTGTACGAGCGGAAGTAGCGCCCGTTGGCGCCGATCGACTCGACGATCATGAGCCACTTGGTCTGGCCCTGGATCCGATACACCTGAACCGCTTCAAACAAGTCGTTCGTGGCGCCACTCAGGACTGTCGTGAACGTGGAGCCGAAGCTACCAGGGAAGTTGCCGATGGGCATGCTCTGGCGGTAGATGTTACCGTTGTCGCCCGCGAAGAACAAGTACATGTTCGTGCTGTCGCCAATGACGGTCTGATCAATGGCACCGGTGCCGCTCGAGACGGACGCTGTGGACATCGTGTTAGCACCCGACCATCCATTCGGGTTGGTAGGATTGGACGATGTCCGGTAGGAGAACGAGGTCGGGCCCCATTGGTGGGCAAGGATCCAGATGTTCTTCGGGGCAAAGAGGAAGAGCGTCGGCGCGACTGCGCCCGAAGTCATCCCGGTCTGGGATGCAGACGCCATCCCGCTCCAGTCAGTAAAGGCGCTGAAGCCCATCGAGCCCCAGGTTGATCCCGCATCGTGAGTCGTCCCGTACACGAGATGCTGACCGTTGAAGGGGACGTGGGTGAAGTCTTTGAGAGAGACCCAGCCAGATTTGGGGGTTGCCAGGGCTGCGGTCGAGTTCCACTTGTAGCTCGACGGAAGAGCGCAGGTCTGCGCGAGGGCTGCCGCCACCAACGCAAGAGAGACGAATGCGAGACTGATCATTGTGGCTGCTAGTGGACAGCTTGTGAGCTAGGATTGAGTAGAGACACGAGTCGCATTTCGACGTCGATTTATATTCTGACCACGGGCAGCACGAGCCCATGTGCGAGAATTATCCAGGGCCTGCTAGGGAAGCGCGATGGCAGCAGTGGATTGAACTGGGTGCAGTTGCTGGTCCCGACGATTGACCGTGCGAATGAGGAGGGATCAGCCGACTGACCATTGCCTTGCACCGAGTTGAGGCCGTTCGACTTCGAGTCTTGGCTTGCACCAACGTCTCCCAGGAGTTGCCCCTGAGTTGCCCAGGAGAGAGATAGGAAGCGTGCCAAAACTCCAAAGCTGTCCTGAGCAGTGAGTACAGATAGATGCATAGTGGATGCTAGTAGTTGCGCCGTTACACTTCCGAGAAAGTCGTTGAGCATGTAGACGCGTTCAAAAGGCAAGGAGGCGCACAGAGACTTGACTCAGACTTCGAATGGAAAGCGCGTCGGGTGATGGAGTTTGTGTGTGTTACGCACGGACAGGCACGGACTGTAGTAGATCGGCCCATCCGGCCCGTCAACTTCTCCTTGCTTCAATGCTTGTCTCGCTCTTGTCTTCAAACTTGTCCTATGCACATACCAACCTGCGATGCTCTTTACATTCCCCGAACAACACCCTGAATCCCCTCGTGATCTGAATCTTATGGCCGCTGCCTTCGAGTCTTCGACACATGACCTCTCCGCTCCTCGACTCCTCTTGTCATACCTTGCGAGAATCTCATCTTCACACTGGTTCCTCTGCATGTCGATCTATGCCCTAGAATGTCCTCGTCTCTCCGACCGACCCCACAGTAATCACGGCTGTCATAGACTGGGAAGGCGCCCATACGACACCCATCTGGACTGTGCACCCTACTAACATCCTGTCTCCTCTTATAGACGACTAGGAGAATGGGATGATGACGAGGCGAACCGGAAGGATTCGTCATCGAGCTGACGCCGGAGGAATTTATGTGGAGCGAGATTGAGCGTCTGAACGCAGAGTGGGCTAGGGCTAGTGCATGGGGGAGGGATTTTTGCAATCTTCACATGACTGCCAGATGCAGCTCGATGGAACCGGAGGATTTCGAGTACGAGTAACGCTCCGTTTCTCTACTTCTTGTTCCTCTAGAAATCGCCTCTACTGAAATTCAATGTGTTACTGAGCAACGCTGCAGCCGGTGTCCAGGAACAAAGACACGGCTCCTAAAACAAAATCGTGCGCTAGAGATGGAACCGTACATCATTGAGATGGATTCTCGCTCCTTGAAACCTGCTGTGCGAAGGATTCGTTATACATTGCCAAGTACGAGAATCATTTACTACTACAAAACCAATAAAAATAGAAGATTATTCTATGATAGTAAGATGGTCTAAAGGGAGAGCAACACTTGCGATCCCTAATTGTCGGCACGAATGGAATGACAACGAACTAAGCGCTGTGCGCGTATTTTGACCGCTGGCGCAGGACGTGCCCGTACTTGAGCAGCAGCCAAAACACGGGCATGAGGAGGAACGAGATCCCCGCAAGCAGCGCCGAGCCCGGTCCCAGCCCCAGATTCGTGAAGAACGTGCGCCCAAACAGCGGGAACACGCTCGCGATGGTGGAGCGGAAGAGGTCGTTCCCCGCGAGCACCGACGCCGCGTAGGCGGGGTAAGCGGACGTCACGTACATGAGGATGCTCTGGAAGTTGAGGAAGATGCCGGGCAGGTAGAGCGCGGCGCCGATGACGGGGACGATCCAGTGCACGCTCGCCTTGGCGGAGAAGCCGAAGATGAGGACACTCGTGGGGATGAAGATGCTCGCCATGAGGCCGATCTCGAGGCGGATCTCGGGCGCGACTTCGGTGTGGGCGGCGGCGGCGCGCGCGTACCGCGGGGCGATGTGGTACTTCTGGTAGATACAATAGACGGTGTAGGTGATACCACCAGAGACGATGAACGCCAGGAAGGGCAGGCCGCTGACGCCTTGGTTGAAGTGGTAGATGTCGATGAAGACAAGCGGGAAGGCCTCAAACCAGAGGTAGAAGATGGCGTCTAAAGAATCGTCAGCATAGGCAACAGAGCAGTAGGAAATCAACGCACAAACAAAGCCAAGATAAATGTTGGCAAAGGCGAGAGCGGGCTCCTTGGCCAGCACGAAAGGCCGTACGAGGGATTCGTACATGATACCCCAGGCGCTCTTCGAGTCCTCGTCGCGCTCTTCTGCCGTCCGCAGCTCCGGGTTGCCCGTGAGCTTCCTCAGACGTTCAGCGCGGCGGAGGAGGATGGTCGGCCCGTATGTCTCGGGCAGGAGGAGGGACAGGAACACGACGGCGAACGAGGTGATCCAGAGGAGTTCCATCATGGGCCACCTCCAGGACTCTGCCTGCGCTGCGAAGCCGCCGATAACCGGGCCTGTTATGGGTCCCGCAACGGCACCGAGGGCCCAGATTCCGAGCACGTATGCGAACTGCTTTTGCGGGAAGATATCAGCCATGGAGGCTCCCCCTGTGGCTAGCGCTGGGCTGCCGAAAAAGCCCGTCATAAAGCGCATGGCAAGGACGGTGTTCATGTTCGTCGCGGTTACAATCGGGATTTGGAAGACAACGAAGAGTAGAAGAGTCGCCATGTAAACCGGGTTGCGGCCAAGGAATGGGAGCTCTTGAAGGGGGGACAAGAACATAGGCCCAATACCGTAGGCTGTTGCGAAGATGAGGACCAGAGTTTGGACGCGAGCAGAGGGGACTTACCGAGAACATACAGCGTCAGACCGAGAGTAGCGGTGGTCAACGAGACGTCGAACTCGGTCATCAACCCCGGGATGGACGATGTGTATATCGCCGACCCAATGTAGATGCTAAATGTGAGGAAAGATATTTCAAATGCGACGAAAGCGCGTTTTCGGAACGACCAATTTCTGCATGCCAATAAGTCTGACTGCATGAGCTGGAAAAAAATTGAAACATACTGAGGGTTCTCAGGATCCGCGTCGCCATTCCATCCAACGAGATATGGATCCGGAACGGGTGTAGTATCGTCGACCTGCTTCTGCGATTCGGCGTCCGCAACCAATGTTGATTCACGCTTTATCTCGGTGTCGGGCTTGGTTTTATCAGAGTCCCCACAGAGTGTCGCGGCATCGGAAGACGCCGCGTCGAGATTCTTTCGCTCGGAAGCGGGGAGAAGGAAGTGCTGGGGCACAACATAGCCTGGCCGCTGCTCGGGGTAGGGTAGTAGACGACCCCTAGAGACGTAGTTTACGAGCTGGCCGATGGTCGAGTCGCGGATTAGATCTTGGACCATGTTCAAGTTGGTGTGCCGGGTTTGGTGGAGGGGAACAATGAGTTTTCAGCCCTTCCAAGTCGCTCCTTTATACAAACTGTCTTCGACATTGGATTTGTGAGACATGAATCGAGGATGAATCATCTCTGCGGTTGATTTCAAGTTGGTACTAAGCGGTTGGTCGGCAAAGAGTTTGTCAGTGGCCGCATTTGGAAGACTGATCGGATTTGCTTACAGTCTTTCTCTCTGCTCCCGACTCACCATCGGAACCGCCTTGAAGGCTTACTGGACTCAAGTGACATACAGAAACACGCTCTCCCTCAGGCTAGGACGCGTCGCGATTCGTAATTGAGAACCAAAAAGAACGAACACTGTCGCCGACTCGCACAGGCAATACAGACTCAATAGCCAACTTTTCGTCCTTCCACAGACCTCAGACGAACCAACCTACTGTCAAAAATGAAGCATTCAGGCCACTCTGATGCAGCTCTGTGGCCGCCTGTCTTAGATCGCCATGTGCTCTACCGTACCGCCTGGGCAACAGACACACAATAGATCTTCTGGCTACACTACGTCTTTGTGAGCGAACTGTGAAAGGGTGTTTTGCGACATTGTGAATCTGTGCACGGACTCTGAGCTGAAAACTTCACCTTTCACGGTGTCCTTGTTCTTCAGATGCTTGGTTTGTGTCCGGGGAAGGAAGGAGATGGTAAGCGTATGGAATAAAGAGGGCCCAAAGAGAATTTGAATTGGATGTTCAGACTTTCCGGCAGCTTTTGCTTCGCAATGAGACGCTTCGAGCCAAGAACGCACATGGCAAAATTCTGGTGTGCGATCAACCCGACGTCAGAATGCTCAAAAGGTGTGGCACTCACACGTCTTGACTAGTATATCGGTTAGTACACGCGCTTGTCAGCGCCAAGAAAGGATCTTGCCGCGCGAAAGCTGGGTTCGACTCCCAGGTCGAGAGCTTTTTTGACCTGTCCCGTTGTCGAAATCGACTTGGAAGCAGAAGTCCTCTGGCAAACCGCCGCCGAAATGACAGAGATGCGAAGAACGTCCAAGAGAATGGATTTAGTTCTGCATCACAACCTCCCAGATCTCAAACCAAAGCAGTCCGTTTTTCATTCCATCCAATTCATTGTTTCCCAGCAGCGCACGCGCCGTTCAAGCCCAAAATACAGACTACACAACACCAGGGAGCACCCCTCCGAAAGAAAAAGAAGCCCCACTCAGAGTATGATCAAGCGACGATGGTGAAGAGCTGTCGCGCGCGTCAGCGAGCAGCAAATGAAGGAGAAGGACACGCATACTTGAGTCGCGCTGGGCTTGGTCGTATCGCACGCAACGTTGCTGAGGCGGCCGTTGTTGTTGACGAGGCACACGCCCTTGGCGTTCGAGGGCGCGAGGGCGTACGGCGCGGTGAGGTCCGCGGCGACGAAGGGGAAGAGCTGTGAGTTGGTCACTTCGCCGGCTGAAGGAACATGAGTGAGTGAGAACGAGAAACTTAAAGAGAGAAGGGGACGCACCTCCGTCAGCACGGCCACCGCAGGAGAAGAGGTTGACCTAGAACCGAGGTGAGATGCATTGAAAAGAACGAGATATAAAACCCACCTGGTCGCCCGCCGCGCGGCGGTCGTCAAAGTTCAAGCACCCCTGCGTCAGGCTGCTGACGACGAGTGTCTGGCCAGCCTGGTCGTTGTGGACGCCCTTGGTGATGAAGTCGAACTTCTGGCCGTCGCTCCCGTCGCAGGCCTTGACCTGTTCCATTCGATTAGTCTAGATATCTACTAGTAGGTGCTTCAACTTTCCGCCACAGGGATGAGATTCTCGCGGAAGTCGCCTGCGGTCGCGTCGATGGACAGACACTGACCATCCGACGTTTTGATCTGAGCGCCGGTAGCCGCACGCGTGGCGGTGAGATCCTTGACTTGAGATTCGGCGACGGCGGTGGGGACGAGGACACCTGCGGAGCAGAATGATGGTTAGAACGGGTGGGTGGATGGATAGGAAAGACATACCTCCGGCACCGGAGACCTTGATGGGCGTCGTCGCGGTCGCGGCAGTGGTAGTGCCGGCTTTAGCAGTTGTCGTAACGGCTGGCGCCTGCGAGGAACTCTGCGCGACGGCTACATTGGTGGATTCGGCGCCTGCGGTAATTGTCACGGTTTCGGTCACAGTGATGAAAATTGTCGAGGCAGAGTCAGCTTGCGAGGCGGCCTCGGACTGCGTTGCGGCAGCCGTCGTAGCAGCAGGCGTCGTAGCAGCAGGCGCCGTAGCAGACGCAGTGGTCTGTCCGCCCGACGCCGCCTTACCACCGAAAGAGAACAGCTAGGAACGAGTATATCAAACAGGGAGCATTTTGTATTATTTAAACTAACCTCAGCGCCGGATGCCGAGGCAGCACCGTTGCACGCAACCTGATCGACGACGTTGCCCTTAACGGTCAAGCAGACAGCGTCCTTGCCGCTTTGAGGGGTGAGCGCCTGAGGACCGGTAGCACCGGAGAAAGCAAAGAGCTGAGAGTCGGTGACGAGTCCGCCTGTCATCCCCATTTTAGCTGCCAGAAAAAGCTTCAACACAGACAGGTACGCACCGCCATCTGCGCGCCCACCGCAAGAGAACAACAGGACCTGGTTACCTGCGGCCGTTCAATAATCTCCCGAGAGAGCGGTAGACGGCTACATACCAGCTGCCCGGCGAGGGTCAAAGTTCAAGCAAGCATTGGTCTGAGATTCACGGGTTTAGAGAGCCCATTCAAGATGTCAGCGGTGAACGTACCAAGCTGCTGACGATAAGAGCCTGGCCCTTGACGTTGTTGTGCACGCCTGCGGTGATAACATCCCAGGTCTGGTTCTTGCTGCCATCGCAGGTCGCAACGTTGATAGGCGTCAAATTTTCGCGGAAGTCGCCGGAGAAGGGGTCGACGGAGAGACATTTGCCGTCGGAAGTCTGGAGAAGTTTAGAAACACTGGATAGTCGGGATTCAAGGGACGGACCGTGATTGTCGTGGCAGTGAGGGCGCGGGTAGCAGTGGCATCGAATTTCTGCGCTTCTTCGGTAGCCGCCTGGTCTAGGCTCACATCGCGACGGTCGAGGGGCGCCGCGGTAGCTAGACCAGCGGCAACGAGAGTGAATAGGGCGGAAACCAACATAGTGAAATGCGGGATGGGAATATAAAGATCGTCGAGGGGCTAAAGATTGTAAGGACTCTGCTTGCAGAGGGAAAAGGAACGAGACGGAGGGAGAGGAAAAGAACAATGAACCAACTTGGCCATCGACGTTCGACTTTTGTACGTTTCAGGCACGGCGTTCTCACGGTTACTGTTATTTAGATCGTGATCCAAATTCACGTGGTGCCTGGTTGCCTTTCTGGGGTTCTTGCCTTGTCCTCTCTAATTCCGCGATTTTCACCGCACACCGGCGACACAGTGGTTTGAAGCTCACTCAACTCAGCTCTCCTTCTGACCTTGTCCTCGCCCCAAGCATCCTCTGGTTTCTGCTGCCAAGACAAATGATCGACCGTCGACATTTGATAATCGCCGGACCTGAAGGAGAAATTTTGCTGCCGCCAGATGTCTTGACACTGGACAGGAGACATAAAGTGTTCTATCACCGTCATCACCCGACCGCGTGTCAGCTTGACTACCGACGACCTGGCCCCTGGGAAGTTTGTGTTTGGGACTCAGTCGTGGGGACTCGGAGGAAATTTACGGTGGTTAGTTCGAAGAACGGGTAAAGCACCATGCAAGTCCGAAAGAAGATAAAAACATTCGAGTGGTCTAGTTCTGAGTCAGGACGCACAATAATCTAGACCTGATGTCGAAGAATGGCCGAGGTTGAGTTGGTAATCCTCGGTTGATTCCGAGCTGATTCCGTCTCAACCGCTATCAACCACTGAACATCACGGGTTGAGTTTCCCAACCTCAACGACCTGGTAAGACTCTTGAGTTTGTGAGACTCTCTGAGAAGAACTTGAAGATAAGCGTTTTCGCATTTGAGATTGAACATACTACTGCTTGACCCGGTCAAGGACAGCACCCTCCCGACCAACATTTAACGAATGTGTACTACGCGATGTAGGGCTAGAACGGTTTCCCGATAAGTATACCTGCACCCACGCACTCCGGGACTGGCTCAAAATTTGTCAGGTGCGTCGAATCAGCCGCACTCCGTGCCCGCCGACTGTGTCGGGTCCTTGAGGCGCCTCGTTTGTCGTCGCGCCGCTATGCCCGCACTCCTTCCGTACCAAAGTCCATGTGTATAACGCAAGCGGCGCGCGCGTGGTCGAGCTTGTTCCCTTTGGGACCCGGATATGTAGCGAAGAACCCACGCAGCCGACCTCGCTCCGGTAGTGTAAAAGAGCTCACACGTTCAGGTTTTACGGAAGTATGCTTCAAGGCCGACGCCGCGGAATCAACGAAATGTACGTCGGAAGTAACGCCAGCCGCCTTAGGTGGTCAAACCCATGTCAAATCGCTCCATAAAAATCCAACCATGTACACAAGACGCAAAACATACAGTAAGTACACACCTTGGAACCCACATAAATAAGGCAGGCGATCTCCGCAGGTCAGTTGCAGCGGGACGATTTAAAAGTCGCCGACCGAATTCTTAAGGCTCGCCTAAAGCCGGGTCAGCATTGTCGCGAAGGAAAACAAAAGAGAGGGGAAAGTGACATTGAGAGCTCACTCGTATGCCTCAGGCTCTCCAACTCGTAGTCGTATTACTCGCACGCCCAATACAGGGCGCGCTGTCAGGCTTGAAGATCGCCGGGCTGTTGGTCGACTGCTGGTAGTCCGCAATGCTCCGGATGAGGTACGGCACACGCTTGCCGCTGTGAGACGCGCCCTTGGTCGCCTTGTTCACTGTCGGCAGGACCTGCATTGCAGCACTTCTTGGATGTACACGCCAGCACACGCCCCAGCAAGAAATTTGAAACACAAGTACCAACACAATATCAATACTGAAGGAGAACACAGAGAGAGGTATACTGAGAGCTAGGCTGCGATATTCATCGTATTCGGGGTGTCCTCGAGCTCGGAACCCAAGAATGTCTGCGGCGTTTCGGCCGACATGGACGTCGAGAAGAGGCGAACGCGATCAGTCACAGTGACGGCGCGTCAGAGGGTCACACCGCTGTCTTTGTCTCCGCCACCTTGTCGCCACCTCCATCTGCGCCTAGCCGTCCGCGAGGGTTTTCTTCCACTTAGCTTTGGACTCCACACCAAGAATTATGGCTACAACCAGTGCTGAAAGCGCCGAACCCGATGTACGGCCCATAGTTGCCTATGTTGCCTCTCTCGACCTTATGAAGGTCATTCACCCTCCGGAGTATCCGGTAACAGAGCTTATTTCTTTCAGGTATCATCTTTACTTCCATCCAACAAGAATCGATCCGCTATGGTCCACACTCTCGCTCGAACTCTCGGACTCTTTTCCCGTGACTTTTCTTCGACGAGAATCATCGCTCTTGTCCCGCCGCAGAGTGCCGGCTTTGACGAGCTTAATAACTACCACACGAAAGAATACCTTGATTTTGTTCTTGAACCAAAAAACGTAGAGGGTGGCGACGATGCGGCGAAGACGGAGTTCGGTTTGGAGGATGTGAGCAGTCACGACGTCTTCTCTATTCCCAGATTCTATTCAAACGCTTCCCCAGGACTGTCCCACCTTCGAAGGAATGTCGGATTATGTTCGTCTTGTCGGTGGCGCGTCTCTCACGGCCGTCAAAATGTTACGCCAGCCGCGCTGTGAACTCGCGATTTGCTGGGACGGGGGGCGCCACCACGCTCAAAAATCCCAGGCGGCGGGTTTTTGCTATGTAGCGGACTGCACTCTTGCGCTCATGGCTCTCCGCCGCCTCATCCAACCCTCAAGCCCCACTGCCGGCCCGACGACGAGGAAGATGCGTACAATGTATCTCGATCTAGACCTCCATTTCTCGGATGGAGTCTCGAGTGCCTTCCA